TTCACAGTGACTTTATACGTTTTATTTGTATTCATTTCGGCGAAGTGTCTTCTACGAAGTTTCGTTGCATCGAGATTTGTAAAATTATTGATTAATGTTAGTTTTATTGTTAGTGATTGAGTATAACTTACCCATACTCGTTTATAAGATGAAAAACGCTAGTAGAATATTTACAATTGCAATGGTATTGCAGTCGAACAGATAGGCATTCGTTTATTATCAAAAATCGGCAAAGTTAGGAAGAATCAGTGTCACTACTACTCTAGTATACCATTTTTTGGGTCAGAATTCAGAGTAATTCCACCCGCTTGGCTAAAAAACCTAACCTCATATCGTTCAGGTACTCCATTTTCTATACTATGCACCACGGTCCTCAACACCAAAGTGCAAGGCAAGTTTTTTTACTAGATATTTATTCTCAAATACAATTTTCTTCTTTTTATTTTTTTCAAGAAAAGCCACTAATATTCATTAATATCCCTTACTTTTTATACACTTATTTTAACACCATTCATTACGTCATTAATTGATCGCCCTACTTTGACTCTTAAATTGATTACATATCATTCATGCATTCGCTATTTTCCTTGTGCACGATCTTCGACTCAATCCCAGTACCACAAAATCCAGAGGTTACAAATATACTCCTGACATTAGTACACATTGCGATTGGCAGCCATTATTAGAATTCAAAAGGATGAGAATAAAGCATCTGTTTATTAACAAGAATCAGCCGAAATTGGAAGACTAATTGAATATTTACGATTGGCAACTGGGATTTGTTTTCAGAACATCGAGCACATTAGATTTCAAAAACTGACTGCCCGTTATATCATGGCTCAAGCGGCATATATAAGCAACAATGACCTTTTTTTTTTTTTTTTTTTTACCTACTTATGTTCCTTTGTTTAGTGGTGCCGCCTGAGCCGTTATTACGAGTCACAATGCAAAATTATTTACAGAAAATCAGGATTGAGGTACGTAATACTAAAACTAATACAATATAAACTTAATAATTTCTGTCTCTATAGACAATAACCGAATCTTTTACATTGAATTAATAGAAATCATGACAACATGATAAAATACAAGAGATGATGCTATCACGATGATAACGTTATTATTCAATTTATTCTGGTATTACTATTTATGGATGGTTTACTTTTGAGATCTTGTCTAATCATGATAATTAACTAGCAAAACTTTCCTTCAACGTATTTTTTTTTTATACCAAAAGTTCCATTTACCCCATTAAATGGTAAAATCTTATTTTTACTCATTTTACACTTCAATGGAAGCATCATTATACCGCCACATATAGTGTCATCAAAGAATACCAGGAATAGATTTTCATGGAAGGGCATGGTTTACAGTCATCTTCGATGATGTACGATCCCAAGTATTAAGGCAGTCATATTTTATAAACTGCTACTTTCTTTTTCACGTAGCCATACCGAGACGACTACGAGTCTTCATGCAAATAACAGATTTGGTATCGTTATTTCAACTTTTCACTATTCGTCCTCGATTTCTTGAAGTTCTCCATTCGATTCGGGATCGGTTCTGTGGTATGGATAGATGACTCACGATTTCATGCGTTACGACGGATTAGGGTTTGCCTTTAATACTTTAAAAAGCAAGTAGAAGTTGGTTTTTTTTTTTTGCAATATACAAGATTTAGATGGCCTTTATTCTTGTTATAAGACGGAGTTACTGTAAAAGGTGCTCTATGCCTATCTTATAAAAGATAAATTATTTAATATCTAGAATAAGCCAAATTCAGGATATTATTATATTAGTTAAATGCTAGTATGATAATTTGTCCCACGTGAGCCCAGTCTATTAGGCGATATAGCTGGTTTGGTGCATCCTGGCTGCCCTGGATGGCTTAAGGCTGGTTTGTACATTCTAGATATTGAACTAATCTATAGAAGGCATTAAATCTAAATTCTTGTTTGCATTGACGTTTCACTTGTTTAAAGTCAATATAATTTTTTTTTTCTAATTATATAGAAATGGAACTTTTACATCGTGTTCAAAGTAATTTACGCTAACCAATTATCGTAAGTTGGACTTCTAGAATATTTATCTTGAAGAAAATTGTTAAATTTAGCAGGCTGTTATATCAACAGTTACACAGATTTGCATTTAAAGGTAGTTTTTTATTTATTTATTTATTTATTTATTGTTGTTTACATTTAGCTTTTTTTGTACTAATCGGTCTTTTTAAATTTTATTTTTTAGAGTGTCAGATATAGCCGTTTAACTGCAAAAGTTTTCAGGATGTCGTGTTGAATTATGCTTATCACTGGCTAGGCAATTTTAATGCCAGCTGAATTAAACGGTTAAGAAAATTTTAGATGCTTCCAAAGGAACTAACAATTATTACGTAAATATAGCCTCCCTAGAGTCAGTCATTTGACAATTACAAATTTAATGTAATCAAATTATCAATTACGTTTTTTAATTACGGTAGAATTTGTAATTGTCAAATGACTTACTCTGGAGTGAGTCTATATTTATGTATTAAGTGTTAGTTCCCCAATACCTAATCAGATGTATTGTTTCTGTTATGTTGTCGCTTGTCGAGTCGTTGTTTGCAAGTTCACTTTTGCCGGAGATGTTTGTTAGAGTTTCTGTTTTTTGTATTGACGTTTGTTGGTAAGTGTAAGCCACGATTTGCTAATCTTGGGGATGGACAACCAAATATTTTAAGGCCTTTTGAATTATTTTTTACGACAATTCAGTGATTTTCTACACCATTTGATAGTGAATTTGCACTTGGAAAATGTATATCAGATAATCGACCAGAAAATTATGTCAGAACGTATGAACAGTCAGAACTAGATAATACGTTGACAGTCCAAATCGGTGAGTTTGTCGCTAGAATGATAATGCCTTCGTGTAACTAAATATTAGATTAAGTTGGGTCAAAGAGGCGTGTTAGATTTAGCGAGTGGTCGAGCAGATTTTTGAGGTAGTTTTAGGAATGCTCGGTTAATAACAACTTAGCGAATGTATAAGTTTATGTATGAAGTTTAGAGATTGAATTGTATATTTTTAATTTAGTTACTTGTATTATTATACGAATGTCTTAATAAAGCAAGGCGGGAGTTATTTTTCCTAAGGGCCATAAGGCCTTTATTTTATAATAATCCTTTTATCTACAAAAACTGCCTATACTGCCACTATCGTCTATGATCCCAGAAACCTTTATTGACAGAAACGCCCATAATCCCAAAATCACCATTTCTGCCTTCTACCTTTTCTCACAGAAACGGCCTTTTTGGGGTTTCTGCCCGGAAAATCCTGATTTAGAAATAACAGAGGTCACTTGCTTTTTCACAACGTAGTTAATAAAATAAATTTTATGTATTGTCATTAGTTTATTATTATTTAAATTTAGAGAATTGCTATTTTCACCCCCAAATTTGCTAATGCCACCCCCCTGCAGATTTAGCATTTTTTTAAACTTTGAGCAAAGATATCTTGATAACTACCAGGCCAAATTTGACAAACATTTTTTCTTTGAATTCTATAGATTTGTGGAATTAAAACAAAAAAATTTCATCAAATTTGGCCCAGTAGTTGCTAAGATATTATTGCTCAAAGTTTGAAAAAAATCAAAACGTCTATCAAAACAAACTATGCAAAATTTGGTTAAACTTTGAGCGAAGATATCTTTGCAACTACTGGGCCAAATTCGATGAATTTTTTTTATTTAAATTCTACGAATCCGTAGAATGCAAATAAAAAAAAAAATCATTGAAATTGACTTGGTGCTTGTCGTGATACCTTCACTCAAAGTTTTAAAAAAGCTCGAAACGTATATCAAAACAAAAGCTGCGCCAAAATTTCTCAAACTTTGAGCGAAGATATCTTTGCAACTACTGGGCCAAATTCGATGAATTGTTTTTTATTTGAATTCTACGAATCTGTAGAATGCAAATAAAAAAAATTCATCGAATTTGGCTTGGTGGTTGGCGAGATATCTTCGTGCAAAGTTTGAGAAAAAGTTTGGCGCTGCTTTTGTTTTGATATACGTTTTGAGTTTTTTTTAAAAACTTTGAACAAAGATATCTCGATAATCACCAAGCCAATTTCGATGAATTTTTTTTATTTGCATTCTACAGATTCGTAGAATTCAAATAAAAAAAATTCATCGAATTTGGCCCAGTAGTTGCAAAGATATCTTCGCTCAAAGTTTGAGAAAAGTTTGTCGCAGCTTTTGTTTTGATATACGTTTCGAGTTTTTTTTAAAACTTTGAGCGAAGGTATCACGATAAGCACCAAGTCAATTTCAATGATTTTTTTTATTTGCATTCTACGGATTCGTAGAATTCAAATAAAAAAAAATTCATCGAATTTGGCCCAGTAGTTGCAAAGATATCTTCGCTCAAAGTTTAACCAAATTTTGTATAGTTTGTTTTGATAGATATTTTGATTTTTTTCAAACTTTGAGCAATGATATCTTAGCAACTACTGGGCCAAATTCGATGAGCTTTTTTTTGTTTGAATTCCACAAATCTATAGAATTCAAAAAAAAAATGTTTGTCAAATTTGGCCTAGTAGTTATCAAAATATCTTTGCTCAAAGTTTAAAAAAAAGCTAAATCTGCAGAGGGGTGGAATTAGCAAATTTGGGGGGTGAAAATAGCAATTCTCTTTATTTAATAGGTTATTAAGCTAATTTATTGTTTAAACTTTAAGTTTAAAAGTCTTATAGCATGTAAATTAAATTATAGTAGTCTTACAATATATGGAATAATCCAAAACACAGAAGCAAAAGATCTTTCAGTATACTGATAATGGAAGTTTTTATAAACAAGAAAAATTTTATTAGTCTTACATGGCAGACTAATTTACAAATACTTAAAGATACTGCATATAAGTAATATAGTATTTATTGATGTAGGATACATCTATGCAGATTTTCATAGTAGTATATAATATTTTGCAAGATTAATGCACTAATGATAAAATCGGACTTAATAAAAATATTTAGTAGATTCCCCAATTTCTAGATTTCTGCTATGTACAAAATTTGTTGATCAAGTTATTTGAAAAACACTATATGAGAATTGTACATACTTTTATCATATTATTAATAAAATCTTTGATTTCATTATAATCTCTTTCTTGTAGTGTTGGTTCATGAGTTATAAGCTGATCATATACTTCCGGTGGCAAATAGTTTTTAACAAAATTATTGTTTGTGCCTGGTGTCAAATCTAATATGTCATAATATGCAAGACTGTTGCAAAACTTATTAGTAAAATAAAACTTAGTGTATATTATGATAAAAATTTTTTTTTTTTTTTTAAAACATACTCATCACAAGAAGAATTATTTTTCAATTTTCAATTCATTAATGATTCTCTAACCTTAAAGTTTCTGATAATCAAATCCTCATTTGTATCTAGACTTTCCTTTGTTAAAAGTTCGAATGTGGAATCTTTTTGACTACGTTGTCTCTTTACTCCATTAGTATTAAGTAAGCATGCCTATTGAAAATAACTTTAAAATTTAATATGTTGGCCAACACAAAGATAAAGTATAGTACAACTCACTGTATTTGCTTTCTCATTATTTCTTTTTAACGAAGATGTCTTGTATTGAAAATTAGTTGCTTTATTATGGACTTTTTTGCTTAATAACTGATTAATGGTTATTGAATATAATTGCTTCTTGAATTCGATTAAAATTTCTTCTTTATTTTTAGATACTATCCCTGGGCAACTATTTTCATCCAAAAATTTAAGACAATCAATAGTGTTTCATTTTGCATAGTTTCTCTACTCAAATATTCAGCAATCCTACTTGAAATATCCATGCTAAAAAAAAAACCCCCAATATTGTTAATATTAAAAATAAAATCGATTAAAATAAAGTATGGCAATGACATAATGGATTTCTGGAAAGAGATTGTCAATCTTATGTGCTAAGCATATTCTAGCAGGAGCATAATACTCTCTTTCTAAACATCGACCGAAGGAGGTCCTGTTAATGAAACAATTCCAATGCATCGTAGGATACCCATTAGGTCCAATATACTGGAAAAAGATTGTCTAACAAAATATAACATTCTCTTCCAAACATCGATTGAGAGAGGTCTATATAAGTGGAGTAGTTTTTATGCATCGTAGGATATTGTAAAATGCCATAGGTGCAAGCAACAAAAGCACTTTCCTTTTTTTTTTAAGTATATTGTAAGGACTAGTGATTAAGAAATTGTATTTTCAAATATAAAAGGGGTAAGAATTACTTATCGAAGATAACAATAATCAAAATTTTTACAGCACATATCAGACAGTTGGTATTACGCATTACAAGTGCATAATATACAGGTATTCGTTCAGTTAGAGTAATTGCTAAACATTTGAGTGTTAACAGGTCTTCTGTGAGTTGAGTTCTCAAACAATTTCAAAGGCAGTGATCAATGACGCGGGCGTGCAGATTTTTTTTTGGATAATGCTAAAAAAAGCTTATTAAAGCTTATTATCTCATAATTTAAATACCTGATATAAACTTTTTACATTATTTATTAACATTAAATCTCATTTTACAAATATATTAGTAATATAATATCTATCCACAGGTAGTGCGCATTTCACCAACAATCACTTCACCAATAGCTTAGCTCACTGACAGCTCATTTCACCAACAAGTATTTTTTTATAAATTATACTACTAACTTTAGCTTTAATTCTAACCTGATACTAACAACAATGACCAGAATTACTTTGTCAATGAAATGAACTGTCAGTAAAATAATTGTCGGCGAAATGAACTTGTCCGTTAATTAATTGTCAATGAAATAATTGGTGTCTGTAAAGTAATTGTCGGTAAAATAACACATATCCTACTCATCTTATACATATATGTTTTTATATTAGATAACTTACTATATAGCACTGCATGAATATCCCCACCTGCAACTAAAATTCTACCTCATAAGTGCCTTTTCTCTACAAATAAATTGCTATTCATGAATAGTATACGCTATTGCAGTATTATGCATATAGTATAAAGTTATTAATAATTCAAATTATAATTATCGTAATTCTATTTTAATTTTTGTAAAGAATTTTGATACATACTTAGTTGCTAGTGTGGTAGGTAAGATTAGTTAATATCAGAATTATTATAATTTCTGCTATAAGTTACTTAAAAATTCTGTACTGACTTACTCTCAATTTCAATAACTATAGTATGTAGTTGGTTGAGTTGGTTGCATTGGAATTTCCGATAACTATAGTATGTGGTTGGTTGAGTTGGTTGCATTAGAATTATCATGATTTCTATCATAATCCACTGTCAGGAATTTTGTTTCAGAGCTTAATGCTAATGCAGTATATACAGTGGTTGAGGTTGGTGATTTCTATTACAACTTATTATAAAATTCTGTTACAGAACTTGCTATTCCAATGATTACAGTATGTGGTTATAGTTAAATCAGTCTGCAATGGAATTATTACCTCTATTATGAGTTATTGTAACAATTCTATTACAAAACTTATCCACTATTTTAGTGATATGTAATAAGTAGTTAAGATTAAATTAGTCTTGTTAAAATTATTGTAAATTTTTTATTACTATTTATTTTAAAATTATGATTTCTATTATCCCTTAAACTGTAGGCAATTCCAGGCAAATTTGCCTGGAAAATTGCTATAAATTTGCTTATGATTTACTTTTTTTAAA